CAATTGTAGGGTACTTGGACCTTTGGGCGGACGTTTGCGCACTGCGATGTGTTCATGTTGGTCCATGTTTGCTGGCAATAGATGACAGGTGGTGAGCAGCTGTGCTGCCTTTTTGGGCACGTGAAACGACAAACTTGAAGCTCCTGCCGGTCCTCATTCGCGTTTGCAATCTTCCAATGTAGAACTCGCCGTGAGAGGCTTGCGGCTTGGACACTACTTGGTGGGACTAGCACCTTGGTGGCGGACGGAGCCATGCAGTTCCTTAGGTTTTTGCTCGCTTCCCAGCGAGCCCCTTGGGTTTTTGGGTTTCTGGCTTTTAGGATTTAGAAGGGGGTTTCCATTTCCCACTAAAAGTTAAACTGTAGACAGCCCAGACACAGGATGCATTTGCAAGAGGGGCAAGCTTAAGAAAGTGCTGGCAAGACAACTTGTGCCTTAGGAGTTTGTGTGTTTTGAGTTTGTTTGGCTGGCGGTGACTTGTTCAGCATCCTCCTGGTACTTCTGCTCAACAGAGCAAGCTGCCTTGCCTAGAGCTCTCACTTTCCATGTATTGGTGTAACGGTTGCAGGCCTCCGAGCTTCCCGAACTCATTTGCAAGGCAAGAATATTTGGTGCATTTTGCTTGGATGATAGGTGAGTTTTCCATTAAACTAAGAAAAGTTAAAACTTTTAGCAGGGGAGCAGAAAGCAAGCAAGGAATGTATGAATCACGGATGTGCTAATCGCAGAAGTGTGTGGTTTTCGAGCGGTTCGCAGGAGATACCGCAGACCCGGATCTTTCTCCCTGCAGAGGACGCGGCGCCGAGAGGCGAGATGCTGCTTCGGTGCTCCTTCCTGTTTTTGTTGTGCACCCTTTGATAAGGTTGTCGAGAATCTTGTAATATGGGCTCATCAGGGACTTTGCGGTTGAGTCGACCTCGTGATTGCTGCAGCTGCATTGGCCTGAAGGCACTTTTTGAGCACGTACCTTGTTTCATAGCTTCACGTTATGGCAACACGTCTGACATAGTGGGGTGGTTTGTGCGGATGATGCAGGGCGGGGGCATAGCGGCATAGCGCTCTTGAGCCGTGACCCCTCTGCAATTATTCATTGAATGATTGTCCGATGGATGTGAGCCAGATAATTCCCCCGTGACATACACAGTCACATCATTGGGAATGCTATACCGAAGTCTGATCAGTGGGATCGCCTACATGTCCTAGCAGCTCCAATGAAGCAGTTGTGCTTCCATGGTCTTTGGGGGTTTCGGATTGCTTGACTTCAACTCTAGCCCGCTCGTGGCTTACCTGAAGTGCTGTAAAAAAACACGTTCACTGCGTCGAGAAGTTCCAGGAAGCCTGCTGTTCATTTTGTTTTTTTTTGCGAACCATTGAGCAGCTTCACTTGTCAGGGCTAAAAACATACTGCTGACCGCGAGTGCAAAGGCGACTCCTTTTTATTGCTTTGAAACCTCAGTCTTAGGGAGACGGGTAGGTTGTTTAAAGTCCGTGTCAGTGCCAACACCCCTTCCTCTTAAGGCAATATGAGATACTGGAACGAAAGCTGTTTTAATCTGCGATTGTTCTATAGTTCCAAGCTGGCGGGGCGTACATGAAGACTAAGGCGGGAAGGCTGCAATAGCTGGACGCTACACGCATTGCGTTTCTTTTCTCTCTTTTTTTTGGGGGGGGAAGCGGGAAGCCCAGTCTTCCGGGGCCCCGTTGTCACCTACCCGTAGGGATCTTTAGGGGGTGATTTTTAGGGTGTGTGAGCCACTGAAATCAAACAAGGCAACAACTGACATCCCTTTGCCATTGCTAACCACAACACACCCCACAGCACTCAAAACCAGGTCACCAAGTTCCCCAATAAGCGGAACATCCTCCAACCATTCCCAATCCCGACACCACCCCCAAACGACAACCACCCCGAGATACCCCGAGCAACCCCAGCCAAGCATTTCCGACACTGCAGGGCCTAAGCGCTCGCCTCACGACGCCTCCCCCTCGTCTTTGGCGGTGCGCGGCCCCGCAGCACCTGCGCCGGCGCCGGCGCGGCGGCCCAATCCGGCAGCGCTGGCGGCGGCCAATGCAAGGCACCGGCAACGTGCAACGTGTGACACGAAAAGTCCATATTGGCTGTAACTCAAAATCAAGCAGGAGGGGTTACGCAGGTTTTGGTTCATGTTTCCCCTTACCAGGGCTTCCATTTGGGTACCGGTTTTTTCAGCCACAGCCATATGGCTGTGGGTCACAACCAATGGGATCCCATTTTGGGGAAGGTGAGTTCACCACCCATTTTAGAACCTATTTTAGTGGGGATTGGGATGTTCACTGGGGGTACGGGCTTGTGGGGGTACGGGCTTGTGACCCATGGCCATATCGAAACATCGAAGGCGTCTTTAGGGGGAGGCGGGCACTTGACTGGTCGACGCCATCAGCAGGCGCGGTGTAAGATTGTTAGAATGCAGAAACTGTTCCCTTGCACTGTGGCAGTGGATGCAGACGCAGAGATCCTTGCTTGTTTATTTTTTAAGTATGTTTGTAGGACCAAGCACCCAGCAAGACAACTATGCACCACCAGGTGCACGGCAACAGGAGTCAAAGGGTTCGTCCGTTTACCCGTAAGTTGGGCTTTGCTGGCAAGTTCAGAACCAGGGCAGGATGGAACCCTTCGAGACATTTGTTCAAGCAGAACGCCTTCACTTCGGATTCATAAACCAGGGGGTTGCTGCAAATGAACATGCCGATTTTCATTTGGGCACCGTAGTTCATGAGCATAATCCAAACATGTCACAAATGTCTTAAGCATGTATGATACTTCTTTGGTTTCATTCACACCTGTTTGAGGATCGGCTTCTCTTCTTTGGATCCAGCTTGCAAGGGTAGGGACTGGACCCACCAATGACCAAGTAGAGGGAACACCCCTTTTTGAGCACATGCATGTTGCCTGTGCCGTTGTTTGCCCGCTCCTGGTTGACACGACGGCGCTGCTGTGATCCCGGAGGTTAACAACCTCCCCCTTATTTCCCCATCGAATCGCAAGCGGATTCGACACAAATCCGCTCAATGATTCAATCTGGAAGGCCCCATAGAATCTCTCTACCTCGCACAAATCACTGGCCGCCAGGGTAGGGGGGGGATAAGGGGGCGATGTGCCACGAATTACTTGATATCACCCTTTTTGCCTTAGCGGCCAGTGTAGGCACGACTCAGGATTCTTGCTTCCACAGACCGCCCCAAAAACGGCCCCCGCTTTCTTTTTGTTCCTTCGCCGATTGGCAACTCGGCGAGGGAATAGGATGTCAGGCATGGGTTACCCAGTCACTCCGCCCAGGAAGGCTTACGGCAATTGGCCCGCAAGACCTCACCTTCAGATGCACAGGTGTCCTTTTTAGGTGGTTAAAACATAGAAGGCACCGGTTTAGATGGTGTTGTTTTTTCTTTTTCCATGTACCAGGGCCATCTATTTTTCTAACAGGACACCTCACCTTCAGATGCCTCGGCCAGGCTTGTGCCGGATGCCATTGACATGCGGGCGCTGCTGGGGGAGCTGGATGCAAAGCATGCAGGTGCATAGAGATTCCTCACGCGACGTTTGCCAGTGAAGCCGAGCCCAACTGGCCAAGAACGGACGACGACCCCACACAGACAGCGTACTTTGAAGAAAGCAACTTTGACAGAAGCAGGAACATGCGGAAACACGACAACAGCATAGAAATGCGGGTCTCTTCCAGCCTGTTAGGTGCAACCAAGCTTCAAGGGAAATGGGTGGTCTGAGGACGGTTGAAGAGAATGAACACTCACACGACCCGGAGGCATTTACTCCGCTTTTGGGTTGAGCTGCATCACAGAGGCCAACACACAAAACACACATTTGTAAGCTTTCCACGGTCAGTGGAAGGCAGGGAAGTGCGTCATCGTCTTGTTGATGTTATACTGAGGACGCCCGATTTTACATCAGCAGGCTTGTACATATTGGACCATTCACCTTCTAATTCTACAGCAGCAAGTAGTTGACGAGCATGTTTACATCCAATGCCTGGCCCAAGTTGGACATGTTACTTTCATTGGCTTGGAAATGGCAGCCGTTTGACTCGGCAAGGCAATCTAGGAACAGTCGAGATGCGCGCATTGCTCTCGCATGGCGCCGTCCGCTGAAATATTTTCCTCGGGCTGTACAGGTGTTGTCGGGAAGAAAACCTTCCCGCTGGCCTGAACCTCCGCATGTGCAAAGGGCCAAGGGAGAATTGCAGAACAGATTGCCCCAGATATTTGCATGGTATGACGCTGACTTCATGCTTGCATTGGCTTGGGTTTTATGCTTGCAGCTACGGAGCATCAGCAGAATCTGCGGATCAAGGGCCAAGTGCTTTGCTTTTCTTCCGCCCGTTTTTTGCGTGTCACCTTTGTTGGTTGCAGTCACTGTCGCCGCCTATGCCTGGGACTGTCGGAAACTGCTTGCAACTTTCCCTTGAAAGCCACCGGAGAATGGTTTCAGCGTGCAAATGTGTCGTGGTGCTCGTCAAACTGTTGCATTCCAATGAAGCCCCTTGTCGATAGATTTGTCGAAAGACGATCAGCAAGAGAACCAGGTCGAATGTCCTTGCTTGCAGCATGCTAGGGAAGGATTGACACACCACACTCAACTGCCCCTTCAGCCGTTAAATTGCACCAAAGTGCATGACATAGTTCGCCCACTGAGCAACTAATTAATGACAAAATCCCAGGTTCTGCACTCAGGCAGAGCCCCAGGTTCAGATGCGTCGGTGGATTTCTCTTGTGCGGATTTGGCGAAGCCAGGTGCGGAAAATAACCTCGCCGCCTTGCGCCCCGCCTTTTGCCAAAGGCCAAGTGTTGAACAGTTGGTTTTGTTTGTTTCATGTGGGTCAGTTTTTTTTAGGGGTAAATGTCCCCAGAAAAAAATAGGTGGTTGCCTTTTTGGTTTCCCTTTAAACACCTCCAAGACAGGGTGCCATCCAAAAATGACTTTTGCGGGCATTCCTCTCGGAGCTTTTCAGGTTGCCACGGAGGTGGCCCGCTTCCTGGAGGAGATCGACCAGCCGGAGACCCAAAACCCCGACACTCACGATGGGGAAAAGTTCGCATCGACTCTTTGGTGCATTTTGCTTGGATGTCAGGACTTTAACTTTTGGCCAACTAATGGGGTCTCCATTCAACCACTAAAATTTAAACTTTTAGCAGTGTGCCTGGTGTGAATATGCTTGGTAAAGTGCAGTGTGCCTTTGTGTGAAGATTACCGACCTCTGAAATTGTCTGGTTTCGCACTGGACATCTTTCGAGTGCCACCAGCAAAGAAGCTCTCCAATTTCATGTGCATTTAAGGTTTAGTTGGGTACAACAGTGTTTAGGCATATTCAACTATATGCGCTGAGCCATGTCAGTTGTTTCAAGAACTGGGGGGGTGGTTTCTCTTTGGCTTGTGTGCAACTAGCCCCAAAAAAGGTACTTGTCAAAAAGACGCACGCATAGAATGGAAACCCAGGATGAAAAGCCCTGCTTCATGAATGGGAGGGTGTCCCAGTTTTCTTGGAATGTTCAGTTTGAACCTTGCCTGATCATCCTCCACTTGGCCGCCTGGGTTTGGTTTTCTAGGGGGCTATAAACCCTGGAAGTCTTCACCGCCGTTTTGGGGTCACCCTCTCAACGGCGGCAGCCAATGGGTAAACGAGTGTCGCCAGGTGGAAGCGGAAGAGTGAGCAGGTCCGGCGCCAGCGCACCGGCGAGGTGAGCAGGCGCACAGCTCGAAGCGGGTGCGCAGAAGCTTGCTTGCTTGCTTGCTTGCTTGCTTGCTTGCTTGCTTGCTTGCTTGCTTGCTTGCTTGCTTGCTTGCTTGTTTCTTTCTTTTGTTCTTCGCTTTCTTCTTTGTTTCTTTGTGTCTTTGTTTTTTAGCTGCCTGCTTGCCTGCCTGCTTGCCTGCCTGCTTGCCTGCTTGCCTGCCTGCTTGCCTGCCTGCTTGCCTGCTTGCCTGCGACGGACAGCGTTCTTCTTTAATGCTTCCTTGCCGCCTTGCCCTTGCTTCCTTGCCTTCCTGCTTTCTTGGTTCCTTGCTGCCTTGCTTCCTCGCTTGCGGGCTTCCTTGCTTCCTTGCTTCCTTGCTTCCTTGCTTCCTTGCTTCCTTGCTTCCTTGCTTCCTTGCTGCCTTGCTTGTGCTTCCTTTCGTTCTTGCTTCATTGCTTGCCTGCTTGCTTCCTCGCTTCCCTGCTTACTTCCTTGCTTCCTTGCTTGCTTGCTTCCTTGCTTGCTTGCTCGCTCGCTCGCTCGCTTTCTTGTTTGTTTCCGTGTCTTGTCTTTCTTTGTTTGCCTGCCTGTTTGCCTGTTTGCCTGTTTGCCTGCTTGCCTGCTTGCCTGCTTGCCTGCTTGCCTGCTTGCCTGCTTGCCGGCAATACACAGCTTGCTGCGTAACGGGTTCACAATGTGATACCTAGTAGGTGTCCCATTCCCTGCTGAACAAGCAAGCAAGTTTTCACCCACCCCCAACAAACTTGTCTGAGACGAGAGTCGCTGGAGGCAGATGTTGCCTAATGGACTTTTTTCTCGGCCACTTTAAACATGATCGTTCTGTTACTGCCCTAGTTTCCCCAAAATGAGGCCCGAACCAGGGTCGAGGCCTTGAGGCCTTGCTTCGGTTCCTGAAAATGTTCTGTCCTGCGAAGGCGCAACCAGCAGCACGAGGTGGCCGTGCAGTCCGAAGCCTCAGATCCACAAGACTCTGAGACCCGGGATGCCTCAGGCAGCAAACATCCGACCATGGGAATGCCTTTTGGTGCAACCGAGAGGGCACAAAGCTGGATGATTGAAATCAACTCAAGACAAGTTTGCTGGCGTTGTTCGTGTCATGATTCGCTTCTTTGCCTCAAGTTTGGTCACTTTCGCTTCCCCTGACAGGACTTCAACCCAAGTCGTTCAAGTATGCCAAATAGCTCCTGCACAAAAGGCAGAAAGTCGGGCCAGCAACTGTTTATCATGTTATGGCTACATATTTTAATGGGGGGGAAAACCCGCGAAAATGGCTGGTGATGGACACATTCTTCCTCTGAAGATCATGCCCGCCAATGAGTCGCACGTGGTCGCGTTTCTTCATTTGTTTGCGCTTTTGTGCTCGCTCGCAACTGTGCCAACCAAAACTAGATACCCACGTAGGTGTGCCTCAAACTAGTAGGGGACCTAATGGTTTTTCTTTGGCTGGCCTGTCGAAGAAGCCGCTTGTTTGACTGGAAACTGCATTTCGAGCACTGCTCCAACACCGCACTTCCAGGCTAGGCCATGCTACACTTGTCCAAAGTGGACCGTTCAACTGGCAAAGTTTCGCTGGCTGGCATGGCCGGCAGATTTTGGCCCATGAGAATGTGTAGAATGAAAGTCGTGCTGTGAATGAATGGGTCTGAATCGGATTCGTGTTTTAAGCTGGCTTTGCCAACTCCGGGTGACCACCTGGTCAACAGGTGGCGTTTTTGAGAATGCTCATGACTGGCAGCGTGGATGCTAAGCTGGTTTGGCAGGGAGGGGCACTTCTCCTTTCCCCAGGGTGTGACATCACCAGAAGTGTTGCCATCAAAGAAACACGACACACCATGCCCCTCCACGAAGCCTTGGCGCAGCCGATCCCAGCCAAAAGGACAATGCAGCAGCGCATAGACAAATTGCAGAAGGAGATCATTCAGAGTGAGAGGAATGCCGGGGACTTAGAAAGTGAGCAGTGAATCATGTGACTTTGCCAGAAGGTGGATAGTGAGCAATCGTGCTCTAACAAGTCACTCAATGTCTAGTTATGAACCCAGCGCGGAAGCGATTCAGGGCCCTCCGTTCTGAAGCATGCTGCTGCAATACTGCACCAATTGCTTGAACTCAGGCACCTCATAGCAGTTTATTGCAATATGCCCTAGCGCAATGGTTCCAAAATTTCGGCCAACAGGGCTTCATTTTCACGGTTGCAACCAGCTTTTGAGTTTTTCAACTCACATCCCGAGTTCCAGAATTTTAAGCTTTTTGGGAAGACAAATCCTTTTTTGTTCCTTCATCGTCGTGCTGGCAGCGCACAGGCCAAGTCCTGGGAGGAGGAGAAGTCTCGCAGGCGCGTTCGGAGCCACTCAAGGTCCTTGCGGGTTCCTCACCTCAAGTTTATGAAACATCGAATGCCGAGATTATTGGGACTCTGTCAACAAGTGTTCCCTCTTCTTGCGTGTGTGTGCGAGCTTGTTGCTTGAGCGATGCCCACCTGCGGACTTGCCCGCTGGATTCCGTAGCAAGCGAATGAATGAGATGACAAGTTTCAAGCTTATCATATGGCTGATGTGACAGCTTTGGGGTTGTGGGTGCTTTTCCTAGTCTTTTCCTGGTCGCGACATGAGCGAGCGAGGCACCACGACGGAAACCAGCCAAAGTTTGGAAATACATCCAGTACTGGCCGTTTTCCAGGTGCCATTCAACCACCTCCAGGACCCCTTGCTTGTCGGTCCTATAAACTTTCATGAGGCCAGCCCATGATTTGCACGGCATCCTATGGGCCGCCACCAGCATTTGTTTTGTTGTATTTGAAGCACCTCACACCACCGACCTCCGGATTTGCTATGCCAACAAAGGCTCCGCGGACCAGGAGCCATTGGCCGTTTTAGCTGCCAGCATGAGCACTTGAATCAAATGGGGAGCCAAGGAGCCCAAGCCCTAAGTGCAGCCGACAATCACTGGGCAGTATGACACGACACATTTTTCTTCAGGAAGGGGCCTACATCTGTCCAGTGCTTAGAGTGGGTGCGAAAATGCCGTGGGATGGTAGAGGGGATGCTAGGTGGGTTGCAAGAAAGGTTCCGCTGAAATATGTATTGCCACCAAGTTGGTCTACAGATTTATTTGGTACTTGTCTTCATGTGGCCCCAAACCTGGTAAATCATTGTCATCACTCGCCGTGCCCAATACCACAAGGGCCTGTTTTACAGCTGCTCTAGCAAGTGTAGCGGAAACTCTCCGGTCAGACATGAGGCAACCCTCCATTGCGTGTCCAACGCTCAATATTTATTGCATGCAAAATAGACACGTGTACAGTTGGCATTGGTGTTGCTGTTCCACGGATTCAGTTTCGGCCCAAAACTCCTGTTGGGTTCTACCTGCTTTTATTGTTTTTAAGCCCCTTTGGCCAGTTCAGGCAAACTCAGCGGGAGCTCCGAATCAGTTGGGTGATTTCTGCTGGGATCTGGTTTACTTTCTGGATCTGACCAGAAAATGCCGGTACATCCAGGTGCCTTGACTCGGGCTCAGGCCATGCATGGCCTGGTGATCTTCCAAAGGCCTTTGGCCCGCAGGGGTGCCTGGACAAAACGCTTCCCATGGGCTCTTGTGGGCTTTGTGTTCATACCTGTTGTCCGAGGACCCGACTGCTGACAACTTGCAGTCGAACAAAAAGCGCCCCCTGACTTCCTGGCCACCAACAACAACCAATCCAGGGCTCAAGTGATCTTGAATTTGGCAGCCTTGGAATGCAAGGAGGCCACATTTGCCATCATCCATTGACTGCACTTAAACGGGTCGCCTATGCAGCGACCGTGGAAACCACGAATGAATGAAGTGGTGGTGGCCATATGGCACACACACACAGACTCACCTACGGGCCATAAACAAAAGCGCCCAACAGAGTTGGGATGATGCAGGAGCCATCAGCTAATCTTTTCTCCCGAGACTCGCTCTGGCAGGGTTTGGAAAGTGCCGCCCCCCCCGCCAAAGGATCCATGGCAGCTGGCTTTGTACCCCATTGGTTTATGACTTTTTTTTGTTTAAACCCATCGAGATTCAACCATCGGGTTCCGCACCTGTGACCTCTTCGCAAGCAGACATCATACGTTGTCTTGCGCACGAACTTGGACTGCCCACACGCAGCCTCCTTATTTCCACCTTGAAAACAGGGCGACAAGTTGCGACTTCATCGGGCCCGTGGGGGTGCTAGAAATTACTTGCCATGCGTTTCACTACTGTGGATGGACAAAATCCTGCACCGGTTGGGATGGATGAAACCTTTTGAATACGGGGCTAAACCACCCACCACAGCCGGTTACTAAAGACCCCCCAAGACCCCAAACCTGGCTTCACTTTGGCAACAGACTAAAAGACCCATGTCCCAAGTCGACAATGCCTTAGCATAACGTGAAGCTGTCAATGAGTCAAGCCAACTCCGTGTAACGCATCGAGGCCACCATGAGCGGCGAAAGGCCTTGCTGATCGGGGTGAACTACGCCAACTCCCACGCGCCCCTCAAGGTGCCACACCTTTTGACGGCGCCGGTGAGTCATTTGGCTCATTTGGGAGGGCCATTAAAGTTATGAGTACGTGTATTCAGAGAATAGGTGCCGCATGATATTGATTACAAAAGCAAAAATTAAACAAACACAGACTCAAGAAAACACCCAGCCCCAAAACCTACATTCAACAAAATGAATAAACAAGTAAACATCAAGACAAGACTCAGCCCCAAAACCTACATTCAGAAGAAAAAACAAATACAAATCAAGACAAGACTCAGCCCCAACACATACATTCAAAAACAAAAAACACAAAAGACTCAATCCCCAAACTTACATCCAACAGAACAAACAGAACAAGATTCTAGGTCTAGTTCAGATTCCAGGACACAGGAGCCCCGAGAAGCAACATCTGCACTGGTCATAGGAAGGCCAGGAAGGGAAGCGTCTTAGTTGAACACATTCAACGTGAGGTGTGCGCGATTCCTGGGAAAGAGGGGGGCCATTTTGGCCGCAACCCCCCCGCCCATGCCCCAGCCAGCTCGTTTTTTGAGTCTGGCAGAGTCTGGCAATTCCGGGCGTTCCAAGAGTTTGTTTTTTTTGTCTGGCAAAGCTGGGCGTTCCAGGAGTTGTTTTTTATTTGTTGTTTTTTCATTTTTTTGTTGGTTTTTGTTTGTGTTTTGCTTGTTTTTAATTTGTTGTTGTTGTTGTTTCTGTTTTAATTTGTTTCACGCACCCCCCCCCAGACCCGGGCCGGGCACCAACTCCCCCCAGTTGCAAAGCTCCGAAGCTTCCAGATTCCAAGATAGACCGTTGGAGTTGGAATCCTCTCCGAGGCCCAAAGTGTTCGTTTGGTTTGATTCGATCGCGCCAATCTCATTTCTGGATTTTGAATGTTTCTTCAAGCGGGTGAATGTTTCTTCTGTGTAGTGAATTGAGTGTTGAATTGTGTTTGTGTGTTCATGTGTTTTCTGGTTGTGGCAAATTGGCTTGATTCTTTTGTTTTTTCTTGGGTGTCATTTTTTCTGGATGCGTTTTTTTTTGGTGTCAATTTGTTTTTTTCCTGAATGTGGGCAGGGGACCCATGAGCCGGACTCAAAGCGCGAATGCAAACATGCTTTGCCACCTAGCCACCTAGCGGGTCTCAAAAGCCACGGTCAAAGGCTTTTGTTGGCAAAATTAGTGAGCTTTAATGTTATGAGAACGGCTTCGCCAGAGAAAGTTGATTTTGATGGAAAATTCAAAACCCAACAAAAACAATTGCGGACTCAATACCAGACTCAAAAAAAACAAACAAACGCAACCTCATTGTGATACCTAAGTTGAGAAGGGGTGCTGTGACAGCCTGACAGTCGCAAACTGGATTTCCATGGGTCCGAAAACGCTTGCATTGTCTCATGCGAGCAAAATGCTGCTGGATTTTCAATCGGAGGCTCGTCATAATGACCATGAACACTTGCAAGCAGCGGATTTGGATGGGCTGGCCCTTGCACCCCGTGCCAGCAAACACCCTTGGAAAACAGGTGTAATCCATGATCCGACAGACGTGAGGAATGGCCCCCAAATTGCCAAGCAAGCGTGCTTTGGGCCGCTCTGTGCTACATGTCGCCATGTTGAACACCAAGGCAGACGATATGTTTAAGGCCCAGCGTGCAAGGTTGCCAATATAGCTCCCATGGTTTGCTCACAGGGAGTCATATCGCATGGATAGTGCATAAGCGACAAACAGCCGTGACTTTGCACGTGGAGGGAAGTACAAGACTATAGCAGACTCATGTGAGTGTGTCAGCTCACCACTATGAGAAGGCCCATGCAGTGCAAAGATGACCGATTTGACCCCACTATTTCAACTCGAAGGCGTGGCATGTCAGTTGCTTTGGCAGCCAATGCAAGTGCAAACCTAGAAGCACTGGGGTCAGCACTGCTTCCTGCGGCTGTTTGGGTGTCGCTTTGCCGAGCTTCTACCTTTGGCCGCCTGGCCAGGGCTGCGTCAATGACGTGTGGAACCTCCAGTGCTTGCTGCGGCACACTCTCCAGCGCCCATGGGAATCCATGTGTTAAAGTCAAGGCAATCTTGGTGAGTGGCCGTGAAGAAGCTGCCAGTCACCAAAGGCTTGCTGTTAAACATCACAGGAATATCGTGATCCTCTTTTGCATTTTGCTTGAGAGGCTTGCGTAGGCAAGCAGAGGGGACTGGGAGTGTTGGTAGGGTAGCTAAGTCTTTTGGCGGGGTTGCTTCCTGAAGATGTAGGAAGAATCAGCACTTGATTGGATAAACAGCGGGCCCATGTCAGGCCCATGTCAGGCCCATGTCGCTTAAGTGTCACTTATATCACTCAAGTCAATTTCGGATTAATTGACATGCCTGCTTCCCCTTGGCACTGCTCCGAGATCAGGGCGGTTATGGTGCAAAGTCTGGTGCTGCCCTGTTGTGGGTGGGAGAAACAGACCCCCCCTCCCCCTTCCATGGTGACGGTGGCAAGCATTCTAGCACGGGTTGCTGCCCAACAAGTACTTGAAATCTTGGTGGAAGTAGGTCAACCCCTCCTTCTGTAGGAGAATGTTGGGATGTTGCGGCCCCCTACAATTTTGACATTGTCCTGAGACCTGCAGACATGACTAATGTGAACATCCTTCCACCTTTGTGTGTGTGTGTGTGTGGGGTTGTCGCTTCCCAAGCGTGGCCAGTTGTTTTAAGCCCTGAAGCCCGGAATCGTTGGGCATGCCATTCGACAAGTTGGGATGAACCGCACTCCACGGACCATCGAAGGCATGACACAGGTGAAGTTGTAAGTTGTTATACCTGCTTTTGGGAGCATCACTCCTGGCTTCCATGCAAGAGGTGTTACTCCAGAGCCCCAAAGGGGCTGGTCCGCCATCCTCGTGCTTGCATCACATCGGAGAGGTACACCTCGGAACAGCTGCGCATTTTGGTGGATGGCTTCGATGGCCGACCAAGGCACGACACTTCAGACAGAGCAGGACATGCGGGTTTTGCGAGTCGGTTGGGTCATGTTCACGTTGATTTGCGGAACTCAAAGCAGGAAGAGTTTTTGGGCGGGGATTTGTTTTTTGGTTGCAGGGCTGGGGTGTGGCTTAAGGTGTGCCTCTAATTGCTAGGGTTGAGGTGGGGTGGGAAAGCTGACGGTCTTCCAAATTGGGGGGGGGGCGGACAGCAGAGCACGGTATCAGCTTGCAACGCTGCTGCCCGCCCATAACGCTGAGGACAAATCGGTCAGCAGAGAGTTGGTATGCTGCACCGTGAGTTCTCGTTGTTGCTGTTCCATTTCTCCACGCTGCTTCGATGGTAAACATGGAGCTCACCAATGGGTCCCTTCCTCACCCAGCCAGTGAACACACTTTACACTTTTTTCCTTGGTGGCTCTCCCTTTTTACCAGTGGTGGCCCAAAAGTGTACCTTGTTTTTGGGTGGTCACTGGCCAAGAGAGCTTCAGATGTCCATCTTATGTGACTTCTAGCAACGTCTATGTATGCTGGTTTTGCCAGGCTTTGGTAGCATCTATCGTTGTTACGGGGGTGAGGTAAATAGGGAGCACTGCGCAAACCACCGCTGGAGTGAATGCGGATCACCGTCAATCCATGGCTCAGAGGGGTGTGTCCAAAATACGGCTTTATTTTACCTTTCGAGCGGCATTTAAAGAGAAATCAAAAGGACGCCCAGAATCATATTTGAGAAACACCCACATGCGGATGCTTGGCAGTTTTTGCATGGCTGTAGGCCGGAGAGGATGCCTACCAAGGCTTTGGCCTCAGCGCCAAAAGATGCGTTGGGCCTCCATGTTTCCCCCAAGGACAAAGCTGCTCAGTTGATTGATAGGTTGTGTTGAAGTCGGCAGCCGACACGCATGGATGTTGGACTTGCTTGGGGCCAAAAAGTTCAAGTGACTGCCTTCCGCCAAGGCTCCATAAGATCAGGCTCTCTACACTGCGACGGTTTCTCGCTGAGTCCAATCAAGCCCATGTTTGACCGCGGCACCGCATGAACCTCTCCTTAGGGATAGCAAGGGGGTCGGTGATGTCAAAGGGCCCCGAGAGACGGAGAGGTACTCTTTCTCGTGCGCTCCCAAAGGAACACGAAGCGGGATGTACTTGGTTGTTGGCGTTCTGGCTGAAGCGGGGCTTGTGTCCATTGTCTCTAAACGTCATGGGCGCAGATTTGTGAATGAGACTACTGATACGCTGTTTGCGGGAATGCCTTAGCACTGAAACAAGTGTGATCTCAGCTTGGATGTTCCGCACATTTTCTGCTATGGCAAGGGGAAGGCTGCCAAATTCGTACGGGGAAATTGCACGCTGGTGTGTGTGTGTGTGTGTGTCTTTTTTTAGGCCCACCGCAGAAACAAAATGGCATTCACCTTTGAAAACCACCAACAAATGAGTACCCTCAAAAAGACGCCCACATGCTGGGAAAGCTGCAGGCCAAACGAAAGTGTTCGTACCCAAGCGGCCGTCCGGCATGTTTTTGCCAGCGTTTGCCTCTTGTCGAATTCTGTGCCGGTCCGAGGCAAATATCCTGGCCGGGGACCCAGTTCTTTTTGCTGGGCCCGATAGACGCGGGAGCACGGAAGATACTTGACTGTCCAAGGCCCAAAGTACGTTCACTTGGAGCCCCCACGAAGAACTGACAACAAGTGCTGTAGTTGAGTACGGCCCCTCAGCAGAAAGGCAACATTGCTGCATAACAGTGTGGGCAAACCATCCTGTGTAAGAGAAATCAGCCCTGTGAAAGCGCAGGTCTTGAATGAATGCCTCGGGAGTGGGTCATCACAACTGGGAGCTGCTTGACGAACTGCTTGGGATTTGCTTGTGAATCTGAAGGCAGATGAGTCGCCTTTGCCGTCTCGCACATGTCCATGGAACCGGGCCCCGGGATCAGCTCAATGGTGTTTTCGGAGTTTCTTCTTGCCTGCGTTTTGCTGGAAGATTGCGTTTCTGGAAATGTTCACCGCTTCCCTCTTGTCCATATATATATATATATGTATATATAGCCGCTCCCAAATGTAGGAATGGAGCGAGATATGGGAAAGAGGGCCATTCCTCTCCATTCCCTGCTTCTCACATTCAGTCTGACGTTCCTCCCATGTCCTCCGCAATAATACTCTGTACATTCTTGCAGCTGAGGACAGGTAAAGGGATGACAGGCCACCCATCCAAATCATAGGGATGGTAAAGAGAAGATGGCTGGTGCGGGAGGAGCTTGGACTCGTGCATTGCAAGCAGGTGCAGAAGTAACTGCCCCCGAATGGACTTTGCTTGCTGACTGCCCTGGGCTTCAGCCACACAAGGGGAAGGGTTGTGCTTTGTGGCAGACGGGCAGAAGAGCCATAGCTGTATTTGAACAGGAATGCTCAGCATGCATGTTGTATCCAAGGCCATGCAATAGCTTGGGCTTGCCTCATTTCCCATGTTTTGGTATGCCTTGATGCGCGCTAATCATTGCCTTTGCTGTCTGCTTTGTTGGATTGCGGAGTTGTTTCGCAGCTTTGGGGTGTGTGGCCTCGAATTTTGTCACTTGACTTTTCTGGCCATAGCTCCTTTGTCGCTTGTCCCGCCGCTTTTGGTAGATCCTATTGTCATGATCGATTACTGCCGCGCGCGCCCGGCCTGGCTTAAGCATTACAAGACACAGAACGCTATGGTAGAGCTCTGCGCTGGATTTGTGCAACTTGCCGTATGGATAGGCAACTTGCAGCGGAATACTGTATTAGGCAATCATGCTTGCCCAGCTCTGAGACTTTACTGCTCAACACCCTCGGCTGCCCAATGTTTTGTTTGGAATCATTGAAGCCCCAGCTGCTTGTGGCCCCCAAACTCTTGCAAGCCACCGTAGATTTCTGAGCATTGCAATATCCATCACCAACTATTGCAAAAGTTTTGGATTTCCGTTTTGGCCCGGGACAACTCGGCCTCTCCGTGTACATCGCTCGGCGCTCGGCTCGCCACAAGGGGGCCATGCCGTGTATCGCTCTTGGCGCCAGAGACGAGGACAACACCTGGCTTTGTCACCGCGAGGTTTGTTCCACCCCCCCACAGAATATACATATATATATATATATGTTGTTAACATAACCATAAATAGATAAATTTTATAAAAATGCATAAAACTAGCAAAGCACTCAAAAAAGAGAGAAAAAACAGAGGGAGCAAACAACAACAGCAGCAAACAAAGACAACTCGAACTTGCAATGGTATGTTAACTTGCGCTTACGCTGCATCCCCGGGCTTCCATGAGTGTGCATTTTGCAGAGCTCGCATCGCCGGCCACTCATATGGCCGGCCCTTCCAGGTGCCTCAAGAGGCTTATGCCAGGGGCTCCTGCGCTTCCTCCCGTTCCCCCCCTGCATCTCCCTCTCGCGGGAGAATGCATCCAATCCCCTCTTTAGAGAAATCGTATAATTATATGCCGGGTGCATCGGGGCTGACCCAACATAACATGGGTTGCCCAACACTACGGCCAGCATAGTCATCTAAAGCATACCCGGTCCCCGGTGCACAGACTCCCTCTCACCAATCCCTATGAATGCGCTTTGTCAAATTCTGGCCCGCAAGCTTTGAACGTCCATTTTGCACTGCCCTTCTGTGTCTGCATGGCAATCAGAGTTATCTTAACAATCTTAGTGTGGGCCATAAGGTCCTTGGTGCCTGTGGCCGGTTGAGCAGCAATGGAACGCACATCAAGTTCCAAGAACAACAAGAGACATTTGTTCCCTCAGAATTTTGAAGCTCAAGTGCCGCACGATGAGGAGGAAGAGGAGGATGAGACAATGGAGGCGGCTCCACCAGCGCCTCCTCCAAGCCCATGGATACGAGTTCTTTTTGTGGATGTGGATGGGGCCACTCGGCTGACTCGACTGCTTCGGAGCTTCAGCCACTGCCACTGCGCGAGCTGCAGAGCAGTGGCTGTTGGTGACAGTGGTTATTAACGGGGCTTCACTAGGGCCACCTTCCCTTGGCTTCCCGGCTTCCCTTATGGCTTTTTGATGGTATGCTTCTGCGCACAGCAACTGCCGGGCGATGGCTGGGCTCATGGAGGTGTGTTTTGGCCTTCACAGCCTGCTCAGCCCCAGCCTGGGGAATGGCTTGCGGTTTTGTGTGGTGCAGGTGCCAACTCTTTATTCAGAGCGCCAAATGTGTGAGTTGGAACCAGCGAGACAATCATTAAGGAGCTTGCACTTTGTGTTGTATAGAAAGCCGATGAGCCAATCTGTTGATAGCCTAGCTGCACTTGCTAGGCTGCGAGGCTGGGCTTTTTGGAGAGCTACTTTGCGTAAGCCATGTATACCCAGCGGGGCCGCTTTGCCTTTCCCCGATGCAACTAGGCTTTGCGCTTCTCTGATCGGCGAACTTACCTGCTAGGTCGGGAATGGGCATCTCGATAGCCAATTGCCAATTCGCTTCCCATGTTCCAGGAACACCAGTTTGGCCACCCTCTCGATAATTGCTTCGTGCACATCACGAATTAATGGAGATTCACCATCGCTTGCAGGTCGAAGCTCTGACGCCGAGCTCTGACTGATTTCAGCATTAATGAACGGCAGTGTTTAACCAGCTCAGTTTGCAGCCAGTTTCCGGAACACCGGGTCTCTTGAAACCAACAACTGGATGAGTCCTCGCTGCCGGATCATGCACAAAAACACAGACAGAAAGACAGACTCGCAAACAAAGAGTCCATTTGTCCCTCAGGACCCTTCTTGAACCCTGCGCGTGGCGTGGGAGAGAAACCACTCCCACAGTTGGTGCTCAACACTCATTTCTATTCAACACAATTAAACACCAACCAAAACTTGGTTGCTCCCAGCCATCCCCTCAACCTTTTAGCGTTGTAGAGTTTAGTGGTAGTTTCTATTTACTCCACTAAAAGTTAAACTTTTAGCGGAAGATCTGAGGGCAGCCCAGAAAAGGATCAGCTCCCCGTTAGCGAGGTTCTCAACACGAAGCCTGATCGCCGGCTGCTGCTGCTCGAGGAGGAGCCGTGCCGGCTGCTGAAGAAACTTATCCAGGCCGATCGGTGCCGGGCGACGAGGGGAAGGGTCCCAAACATGCCATGGGTGGAATATGTACCCTCCCTCCCACTAACATGGCAGCTACGGGGAGCTCGGATCTCCTCTTGAAGGGACCTGTCAGGTGCCATGTTAGTGGGAGGGACTGTTGGTAAATCTAATGCCTACATGGATTGTGTGGGGATCATGGGCCCGGGTCGGGAAATGTGCGCTTACTGTTCCTTTCCAGGGCTGTTTTTGGGCGACCGGGAAATGAATTGAAATGTGTGGTTATTGCCTGAGCGGTAGCATCCTTTCCTCAATTGGCATCCCACTCGCGGCATTGTCACTTCAGGCGGAAGCAGGTCAGCTGATCCAGTCAAAGCAGCCCGTCGATCGTGAATTCACATGAGGCCCGGCAAAATTACCAAGAGCCTATCGGACTCACCAACGTCTCTGCGTTTTCTTGCGGGCACCAAGCAGCTTCTATCGTAGCTCGCATATTCTCAGGAGCGTGAAAGGCGAAGGCAGTTGGTTCGAGGAGTTTGCCATCAGCTGACTGATGCTCAGAACCCACTTTTCGAGGGTTTGCAAAAGTTCAACGACGAGTAGCCACAGAACTGGGTCAACCATGTGAAGCATCTACCAACCGCTTTGCCCTTCTTGGATTAAAGTGAGGAATCGACGAACCAAGAAAGTATTCAAACCCTGGGTTGCATGCTTTTCTAAGTACTAAGAGAGAACTGCTCTCACAGGTCCCCGTTGTGAGGTGGCTTGGGTGAGATGGTTGCGCCAAGCTTGCGCGAGCGAAAGAGCAAGGAAGATCAGAGTTCCAACCATAGACCTGGGCGTGTCAAGGAGCTCACTGATTCGGAGTTAAAACGCGCTCCGAAGGTCCCGTGTTGAGAGGGTTCCCTGATTTAGGGAGCTGGTATAACTTGTGCAGATGGGTCGGCTTCTTTTCTTCCTTGGGCATCGCCAATGCGTAGAAAGTAATTGCCATGTGAAGCCGTGTGTGGACTTGGGCATTTGCATTTTACGCCAAGGAATTGCAGGGGCATTGCTTGCTTTCACGCGGCTCAGGGCCAGATGTGTTGGCGTTTCAGAGTTGGGACGCCTGTGCCAGAGGCACCCGGATTTGCGTTGCCTTCGCTGTGAGCGCATTTGCAGGACGCCCAGGCGAAGCTGGTCCTCACCAGCAAGTGGAGGAAGCACAAGGCGCCGATTCGCTCACTTGCGGGCGGTTTCGGGTGAGTTCCAAACATGGAGTGGAGGGAAGGTTCAGTGGTGTGCTGCAATAGTCAACGTGGCCTTCTGTTTTGCATGTAGCTTGTCCAGTGGGGCTGCCAGAGTCTTGGTATTTGTGAAGTGCCTTGGTGCCAATGCCAAAGCCTTTTGGATATTTTAGGTTGCAAGCCTTTTGGAAAGCTGCGACTGTGATCCGCAACCCAGCTTTGCCGCGCATACCGGCACGTCAGGCCTCTGCCTGTCCGCCAGTCCATCAACGGAACTCGAAATCTGGCAGAGGCGCTTCCTG